AAAATATCGCCGAGTCAGCGTAACGCAGCAAAACATGCGAGCTCGTGTGGGGATCTGCGCCAACGAATACATAAACTTGCTTTTAGGAAATTCCATTAATCTCCAGTTGCACTCCGGCGTCGTATACACGAAGTCCGTTTTGCGCGATACATTGATTGTTTGAGCGATACTATTCTCTTCTTTCTTATACGCTATAGAATAATAACAAACTATGATAGTCTCTCTCTTTTATCAAAAATATATCGTGACAATGTTGGTATAAGCCTATTGCGTAAACGTATAGTTGTAAATAGTTGTAGTTGTAAGAATTCACCAATCATAGTTAAATATTCTTCTCGTATTCGTAATTGGTGAATTTTTACAACTAAAATCACTTACAACCACCGTAATTGTAGAACAGGCTTAAAGATCTAATTTTTCATACCGCTTACGGTTTAAAGCCGATCTGTATAAATTATGAGTCAAGATAGATTTATCCTTATACAGTGTGAATATTCTTATTTAATTTTCTTAGCAAGTTATAAGTTTCTACTCGTGCGAGTTGTTTAGTTAACCAATAATTGCTAATGCGTTCATGCGTGCATAAACATGTAAATATATTAAATCGATAATAAAAAAAATTGTTTTAACGGTATGATATTTTAAAACAAGCAATATTTTTAATGTTAAATTAATTTCCTCGATATTGTAAATAATCCAAATTGGAAACAATTATACTTAATTAATATAGTATAATTTTTTTCATTAAAAAACCGCATCTTATACAAAATATTAATCACTGCATTTAAACACAGTCACATGTCCTTATTCGTTTCTCTCAAATCTCCAATTCATATCAAAGTATGCATAGATGAGAGATCATCATCCACATTCTATCCTTTGTTTGCAACAGTCGTATCTTTTTGTATACCTAATCGTAGTATCGAAATACTATACAGCCAACCATTATTATACATATATAATTTCTTACGTCTTCTTTTAATATAATATTCCAATCTCCTTCATAGTTTTATTTTGATATTTATCTTTCTTCATCGTTTCCTTGCCACACCTTTCCATTATATACACTTATCACGTTTTAATGCAATACTCGCCGAGCTAGTCGGTATTCGCTTTTCCATTGAACTTATTTCCCTCCGTCGCGTCGCGTCGGTCCTTCTCCATCTATCTAAACTATGTGTATACATAAACTATGTCTATTCAACCGCGGTGCGCTCGGCTGCTTCCCATCTACCATGTCAATGCAGACTAGCTGCTACGAAACGGGATAGACCATTGGCGCGCCACAACAAATTCCTTGGCGCGAGATGTCGCGATTTCGAATGTTTAACCAGCTAGGTTAAATGATGGCAGCCGAAGGCTAAACACGACCTAGAATTCCCGACGATGCTTCTATGCGATGAAAACGGAATGAGCGACGATCGGCATATTCGCGTTGGACACAATGGATTTATGGCGGATACCTTCGACTTGCTTCAACTCGCAAACATCGTTGAGAAACTTCGTAGCGTGTCATAATTTTCCGGTTATCGAATTGTTAGGTTATGGTCGATATCGTGATGATACATATACTTAAATTCATTTCGTACCAAAATTACGATGGGCCATCAACCTCTCGAAATTGTTATGATAAGCGCATCGCCGCGCTGATGCGGAAAAAAGCACAGGAAATTAGACAGGGAAATCGCGAGATCATAATTCGTTTGATGAAAAAAAGATGAAATGTCGGAAGGGGCGCTTAAAGACCTTGGCACTCGAGTAAATACACGAGTTCGTGTTCGTGCCAGTTACTCTTTTAAGACGTAATATGTATCCAGTGCATCCCTCTCTCCCTCCCGAATGAATTCCGGGATGCAATATAGTCGCTTAATCGCTCGTAATAACGCCGAGACGAATGCGGCGCTTCTCGAGACTATCGCAGCGAAAAACCTCCATAATTTCTGGCGGATGGCACCGTATAATCGCTCACGGACGAATTTCATATGTCTTAGATACGGTGTTTTTTCATCATTTATGACAAAACGTATTTCTATCTTTTTATAAGAACCCAATAAATGTGTGAACGGGGGAAAAACATGAATTTGTATTTTATTACATTTTATTCCGCGAATTTTAATTGTGTAATTAAAGTTTTAATGACACTGCCGTCTGAAATGCTACTTTTACATAAATGTAATAATTTAAAGCATATTTATACGTATATATAAAAGTAATGCTAAAACTAAGATGTAATTGTATTGATAGACATGTATAAGTATTTAAAATGCGAAACACGTCAGGAATTAGCGCATACATCGACTAAAATTCTCCGTGCTCTCAACGTACATCGAAACAAACTTTGAATGAATCGACAGACATCGAAACTCAGTCGTCGAGGGATGGCACATCGAGTCCCGATGCATCGTCGGTTTACATTAAAATCCTTTTAACTTGGGCGCTGTGTATGAGGTCGTTAACATTCGCGAGAGCTCTCGACGACGCGATTAACCAAGGAGCAGGAGGAGCGTCGACCGCGGGTTCGTCTTTCTACGAGCGAGTGCGGTATCGTCATCCTACAAACAGCGTATATGCATTAAACCATGAACCCACTATCCCCGACGTCATATCCAATACATGTTGTTAGGGGGTTGCTGAAGCCGCGATACAGTACAGGGAAAGGGGGAGTGAGGACGGGGGAGGACGATAGGTGGCTGCAGGGTGATTTCGAGGGTAGCTGCCAACCTCCCCCAGTGCGGTAATGGCATTAACCGAGCTGCAATATGATTACCGCTCTCGCAAGGTAACCTGATCACACCCGAAATCTATGGGGTGTCCGGAATACACGCGCGAGCGAGCAGGAGAGAGAGAGAGAGAGAGAGAGAGAGAGGGAGAGAGAGAGAGAGAAACTTGTGCAGTGAGGAACAATGTATTGCTGCTCTTGGAATAACCGTGCAACGTTACGCAATTGCGGCAGTTGCAGCCGATGCCGAGGTTCGGTTGGTGTTCTCCCCCTTAATCGCGTTGCGCTTTTTGCGGCTCAGATTACCCGTGAATCATTAGATACTCGGGCCCCAGTAGAATCGAAAGCCACCATTACCATCGTGCTACGGATCGTTCCTTATCTCAGCATTACGAGATTAGTCTCCAGTCAATTCTTTTTCTACTATTTTTTATTTGTCCCTTTTCGTCCAATATAGTGTACATTTTTTAATTGCTTGCAGATTTTGACTATGACATAAAATACCAAGAAATAAAACTTTCTCGATATTTTTATGCTCAAGAAATTCGATTAGAATCAATGTACGATTCATAAGATGTAGGCTGCGGTTCACTTGACGCTACAAACGCTTCGAAGCGTTTGAGCAACCAATCAGAACAAAGAATTTTACAAATTGACTAATCAAAAACGCTTTGTAGCGTCAAATGGACCGTAGTCTTAAACATATCAAAGGAATAAGCAACACGTATGTCTCAACAATGAGAGTAAAGTAAAAGTTCTACACTAGTCAATGATGAAAAGCTATGCAAGAGCTATGTAAGTTGCTATTAATATAATAATAAAAGCAATTTTTGGATGCAATAAATGTATAGAAAGTATTTGCCTTGAAACGAAATGCAATTTCAAAATATTTCGAGAATTTTAGTAGCTACAAACAAATATGTTACAGATATATGATAATTTTTCCTCGTACTTAAATAACAAAAGATACGTTCGCGAATAAAAGCAATAAATAGTACTCTGTTTCTGTGATGGCAACAATACATCGCTTAATGTCTTTCGAAAAGAAAAAACATTGTGATCAACTATACACTGACAAGTAAACCTACCTTTGTGTGACTCGCCGATTTCATTGAAACTTTGCACACTTGTAGAGTAGGCAAAAATAATAGATACGTATTTTTTTTTATCGGCAATGGTCAACATTAAAGGGGTGAAATCGACCCCCAAAGTTGAGGGTATTAGGGCATCGTCATGATGTTTCACATAAAAGTAATGTACCGATCAACACGAAACTATTACAAAATGTTTTTTATGTTAGATAGTAAAGTTTACATGTTCGACTTTCCATGCACCCTTGTTGCGGGAGGTAAACCACCCTTCTCGTAATGAATAATTGTTATGACGAATGGGTGACGAAAGTCTATTAACATTTTTATCTATAGTCTGATCTACCTATCTAAAAACTAAAGCTAAAGCAGAACACTATTATTTTTTGGTGTTTTTTATTTTTTAATATTTTTTTTTAATTAAAATTTTTTGAATTAAATTTTTTAATATCTTTTTTAACTCGTTTATTTTTTATATATATTTTTAATCGTTTTATATATATTTTTAATCACTCTGTAGAAAGTGAGAGATACTTATATATTATTCATTTTATTCTGGTAACAAAATGTTCTATTTCTAATTACAAAAGATCTATAAACATCATACAAAACAGTTTTGTACCATTAAATGATCAGTTTAGTTAATAAATGCCTCGGTAGTCTAAAGGCTTAGGACGCTCGCACGGTATGCAAGAGATCCGGGTTCGACTCCCGGTCGAGGTAATATTTTTCGCAATAAGAATTAATTATTTACAGATTTTAATATGTTATTCATCATTATTAAGATCGTTTCGAAGATGCGAATAAGCATCAAAAATTTGTTAAATTGCTAGTCAATTTAATTCGTGATATTACTGCGGTAGTTTAGCTAGAGTTAGCGTTTCAAGACCGAAAATTTCTCGGCGCGCGTTTCTGTGGGACTACATACGTAGTATATAAATTCACATAAGAATCATACAAGCATTAAGATTCAACTAGACCGTTTAAGGCTTTGATTTCTGTAGTTTGTGTTATCACATGTATGGTCCTATAGTATATTATATTATTAGTTAATAAATTCAACAAATTAATATTGTCGTGGTAACCAACGGTTTGATTGATCATATATCAACAAATAGTTTTTGTATCAGTAACAAAACTTTGGTTATTGGTACAAAATATTTCTCTCAGTGTATGAAAAAGAAGGTACTTACCGTGAGATGTTGAAAGAGCCACGCCCTGAGGATGTTCGTCGCAACCTTAGGAAAGATACCTCGTTTCTTTTGGTTTTTCTTCCCTGAGGAATCGTCATCTTCCTCGCCCGTGCCCTCACCGCTACCGATACTCGCGTTACTCGCGTCACCTGCAACAGTAAGAAGAGAGCAAAGGTCATCACGTGCCGCCTCCGTAATTAATACGAATTTATGGCAATTTACGATATTTCATATCTATTTGTTGATGAGAGTCAAATGTATTCTCACGTATTTCTGAGATCATAATAAAGCTTTTATATCGGTAATAAAATTACATACACTATACATCAATTTTCTTGATTGTTTAAAATATAGTAAACGAAAAGAAATCAATTTGAGTCGACGATTAAATTGTGAGATACATCACCTCACACGTCGAAGCAAAATTCCCGACGTGTTTAAACTGCGCTCCGATTTTCGGTTCATACCCTGGTGGGCGATAACTACCTCGACCCTAGGGCTGGTTTCCATGCATACAAACACCATTAAGCCACCCGCAATCACCCGGCCCCCTTCGACCCGGAGAAGCTCGTACACACGCTTCGTACTTAACCACGTACCCATGCTCCTTCTCCACCCCATTTTGCCTCTTCCCCACCCGTGTGCATTAATTCTCCGTCATTTATCAATCTTAGCTTTTTAATTGCACAGTCACTGGGGACTCAAAAAGCGGGACAGTAATGAGAGATATTAAGACGCTGTTGGTTATGCTTTTCAGAAGCTCTGATATCATATTTTCATATTATCAAATGTAATTCGAGTTATTCGTTATTAGGTAATGTACATCGCGTATATAAGGAGAGTGGAGACCTGCATATTTTTATTTATACTACTATTATTTTGCAAAACGTATCATAGTTTTTAATATATCTTGATATTTAATATACTTCGATAGACTCCAAAAAATTGAAGATGTCATAGTCGCGCCAATTTTTATCTTGCAAAATGCATTAATATTAATGATTAAAGAAGTTGTAATAATACGACTTTCGAGCGACCGTTACTATTCTATTATGACATAAGTTTGGAGGTGATTATGGAATAAAATGCAATTTTGTTGGAATTCTCGTGATATTCCAGCGAATCAATCTCCCAGACGAGCCTGAGCGCCGGAAGTTCGAGGTTCCCTTTATTCTTTCTCTTCTTTCGCAATCAGCCAGAAAGGAGAGCAGAGAAGGCTACTTACGCCAGCGGATTATAAATGACCGAGCCTTATCGTAATGCCCAAGGCCCCGATTCCCAAGGTTCTATCGTAACAGAGAGATCAGGGTGAGCCTGGCGCTCCCAGGGGGTTCACGATGACAGGTCGCCCGGGGGCGCTGCCAACTCACCCCTCTCGTTCGCCGAAAAACGGTCTCGTGCCCGAGATTAACTTTGAATTCGTCGAGCGAACCGTCATCGAACAAGGGTAGAATGACGGCAGGCAGGCAAAACGAAAAATTTGTCTGTCGTAAGAACGGTCGGACCGGAACGACGGGAGATCGATGGGAATTGGTGCCACGTACGACGTATTCTCGCGTGTGCCGCTTTCTTCAAATGCTTCGAGGCGAGGGAAAGAAAACGAAAAAAGTCTTCGCTCTGCGATTTAGCGCAATGGATATTTATCTTATCGCGATTTATTCCGATGAGCTGACAAATTCTATACTAAACGCAATTTCCCAGAGAAATTGCCCATTATAACAAAATTATAATAATTATAATAAAACTTTAATGTTATATAAAAAAATTTATAATTATAATTTGTCATTATAAAAAAAAACGCACCTTACAAGCTCTTAAAACAATTGAAAATAATTCTAAATTCAACAACATTAAGTTGCTATAATGTACAACTACATACTTGTGTCATAAATCAATTTAATTATTATAGTTTCACAAAAATCGACGATTCTGATAGCTATGTTTTTTCTCATTGAGCAAGTTTGTTTTCCATCCGGAACATAAGATCCATTGCCAGTGGTCATTTCGTGTACAACAAAAACGATGTTAGACGTTCACCCCCTCTTCGACTCGGAAGCCCGTTAATGGCGTGTCCGCAAAGTCGAATAGGGCGGCCTGCGAGCTCATAGAACCGGCGGGTGGCTATAGCGAAATAACGGAATGGCTAACGGGAACGTCCCTCTGATTGCAGTTAATTTACTCGCTGAATCGGGTTAATGTAGCGTACCGGTCGTACCGCCGCGCCGCGCCGTGCCGTGTGGCACCGTGCGACGACGACCTATCGGTAGCCTGGCAAAAGAAAATGGTCTCCTTCGTCAGAGTATCGTTCACAATTTAAACTGAATCCGTTTTAATCGCACAATAATTTCTAACACGATTGATTTAACTTTTAATTTAACTTGTGATATTATTGCAGTAGTTTAATTACGTTAGATAAAGTCCGGAAAAATTTCGGCGCGCAGTTTGAATAACTACAAAAATATGATATATATGCATGTACATATATAGG